TATCTACCTCCACAACCACGACCATCAAGAATATTACCAGTGATAGACAGGACAAGCTTCCATCATCTGCAGGGGTATACATAATCCCTTGTAATGACTGCAACAAATTATAGGTGGGCGAAACATCAAGGGACCTCCAAACACGTATTTCAGAACACCAATACACAAGCAGGTCTGACGATACAAGGAATGCCTGTGTACAACACCGTAATTCACACAACCACTTAATAAACTACAGAAACTCAAGACTTATCGCCACAGAAGACAACACTCAATACCAAAGAATCCTGGAATCATCGCTTATCTCTATATCCGACAACTTCAGCCAGGATAGTGGCTTCTATAACGTAGCTGAACCACTTGCCAAGAAACTTCTTCATCGCTATCCCACATAAGAGCATAGGAATGGAAGAACACTGCAGAAGGTCTGCTCACAATTTCATCCAATCTCCCTTCCAAGTTACCCAAGATTTTAAACTCTATAACCCCACTTGGTACATCATCAGATGCAGCATTCTCCACCTGACCACAGCATTCTGAACCTGACTGTAAATACTCGCATACCTTCCACCCCAGGTAGATCTGTTTGTGACTTGAAAAAGCCCACTGTGTGGGTGAAACGTTGTCAATAAAGGATCACATTACACTGCACATGTGTTTATATTTCCATTGTGTCGGTATTTTATACCATTTATTTCCAACTGAGGTTCAACTGTACATCATCATGAATTGTCAGATGTGAGTTGATGGAATTATAGTCAGATAAAAGTACAGTGGTACATCAAGTCTCGAACAGCTCCCAACTCGAACAATTATGTAAGTGTATTTTTGTAAGTGCTTTTGTAAGTGTATTTTTGGGGGTCTGAAATGGACTAATCTAATTATCATTATTCCTTATGGAAACAGATTCATTCAGTAAAGGCACTTGAACAGCCTTCTGGAACGAATTAAGTTTGTAACTCGAGGTACGACTGTACACTGTTCTTACACCACCCATATTTAATATTATTTACTACTTTGGATAATACAGCATCTTTCTCAGTTTGCTCTTTAATGTTTTCAAATGAGATATTTTGGAAATCTGGAGACTACTAATTTTACATATTCCATAGGTGTATCTGACTCAATAAGCTATGATCTTCAACAGGTAGTCTGCTTAATGCATCTGCAATAACAATTTCCTTGTCAGCTTTGAATAACAGGTCATAATCATACTGAGCTAATAACAGAGCCCAACGCTGAATTCTGGCATTTGCATTTACTGTAATGTGTTTCCCTTTTCCAAACAAACCTAGCAATGGTTTATAATCTGTTTGAGCAACAAACTGTCTTCCCAGCAAAAAAATATCTGAATTCATTAACAGCAAACACTAAAGATAGACTTTCTTTATCAAGTTGAGAATACAGTAATTCTGTTCTGCTGGAGAAAGTTTCTTACTTGCAAAATATACAGGATTTTCCTGGCCATTTACTTTCTGGACTAACGCACATCCAATACTTACAGAAGAAGCATCAACCTCAATTATTAATGGATGTTCTCCTGTAAAATTAGTCAACGAAGCTGAATGCTAAACTTTTTTTTTGATCCTTTGAACAGCCTCCTCTTCCACTGAAGATCACTCAAATGTATCCCCTTTTTCTATAAATCATACAATGGTGCCAAAATTAAAAAGAAATTTTTATTGGATTTACAATAATGTCACCATCTCCACAAAGATTGAACTTCTCCTATGGACTCAGGTGATGGTAATTTTACAATAGTCTCAATTTTCTTAGAAGGTTTAAAGCAGAGGAAGGAAGTTATTAGATGGGGAGTTGGAGATATTAGGAAGATGGAGGGAATACTTATTTTGAGGAGTTGCTAAATGTTGATGAAATAAGGAAGGCAGGGATTTCATGTATTGGCCAGGGAGGTATAACACCTTTTAGGAGTGAGGAAGAGCCAGATGTAAGTGTGGGGGGAAGTGCAAGAGGAAGTGGGTAAAATGAAAGTGGGTAAAGCAGCTAGGATTGCTGGGATCAAGACAGAAATGTTAAAAGCCGATGGAGATATAGTTTTGCAGTGGTTGGTTAATTTGTTCAGTAAATGTACAAGGGGGAAAATGTACCCAGAGATTGGTAGAGAGTGTGCATAGTTCCACTGTATAAAGGAAAAGGAGATAGATGATTTATATATCCTTTGCTACCTTCTGTGTGAATAATCAGTGTTACAATTGAGAGGTAACTAAATATAATGTTAATACAGTACCTTGCATATACTGTATACTATACCAGGCATCAATTCAGTTGTTAAACTTTATTTTCTGAAAATAATTGACTTGCATAATCTGGATTGACAGGATCAGCACCTGCTCATGAGAATGACTCCCACCAGTGTTTATATACCCTCTCAAAATTGATGGACTGAACTCATCGACTCAGGGCTGAGGGACTAATTACCTCAAACTCCTTCTCAGCTTCCACCATTCATCTCTGTACTAGCTTGAGGAAGCCACAGTTTTTACAGTAGATTCCCAAAGGTTGCAAATGTGTCTAATTCTTCAGTATCAAACATCTCAGCCCCAGGAAAACACACCCTCTACCTCTTCCTCTTATCTCTAACTGGAATCCCCAACAAGAACATTTGTTCCTTCACTGGAGAATTTCTTTATGCAGTCTTTCCTCTTACCATCATCCCTGTTGCTATGTTGTTTGTCATGCATCCATCTTGGAGCACAGCAAAATTGGAAGAAGTTTCCCACTTTCCATTATTCCCTTGAGTCTTGAGCTTCATTCCTTTCCTTTCTATCAGTGTCCAGTTTCCTTTGTTGTCCTCATGATTACTGACAGCAGGACTTCTATGAATCCTCTTGCTTTCCTTGGTCAGACTTTCTCCTGGCTTCCATTCACAGAGACCTCACTAGACATGTCCTCACTTGATACAGGTTATTTTGTCTTGTGTAAGAGAAGTATTGCCTCATCCTGGTTCCCAGCTCAGAAAGAACCTTGATCTCTCTTGTCCAGTAATCCAACTACACACCATTGGTTTCCTCTTTTTCATCCTACTACAATATATGCCTGAAAGAAAAGCAGACTGCTGATGTAGGACTGTGCATGTACATCTACTCAGATACTGAATAAGCAGACAGTCCCCATTCTATATAAACCATGCAACTCTACTGTAAGTGGTAATAACAGTGGTCTGAGTGGTAATGATTCTTGATTGGTAATTACTCTTGATTGGTAATTATACATTTAAAGGTAATTCAATTTACCATTTCACGGTACATCACAAAGAACTATGTCATTGAGGCCATGGTCCCTGATGTAGTTCTACATCAAGTGTTCATCTCACTCAGATAAGCTGTGAGCAGTAAATTTCGGCCTAGGTACAAGAGAATGGGTACGTGCAGTGTGTGTGCACAGTACAAAAAAAAAAAATCCTGCCCCACATGGTGGGAAAAGAAAAACTGTGACTCTGTGTATTGTTTAAAACAGCAAATTTGAAGTGTTTTCTTAGATGGATTTTATGGTTTTATTGACTGTTTCATGATATAATTTGATAGAATGGAAGACATACTACTGAAATAGTGATGATTGTTTGAGGACTGGAAGTAGTTTCAAACTGAGTTCAAAGTAGCAAAAATATTTGTTTTTTTGCCAATATTCCAGGGGATAGCTAAGGCTCCTCCTACAGTCCCCATTATGTTTTATAGGGTTTTAGTAGGTCTGATTCAATTATTGGGACACTGTAAACCACGACCCATCTCTTCTGGTTATACTTTGTTATCCAAGAAATAAAGTAAATAAGAATAAGAATTCAAAATGGAAGGGAAGTGTAACACAGGAGAGGCCTGTGGGACATTACTAATGAGCAGAGGAAATGTTAAGTGCCAAGAATGCTTACATTGTTTATTATGAAATTTTTTTTAATTTTGTGTAAAATTGACCAAATTACTGACTTGTGCACATTATAGAGTACATTGGAACCTAGGTTTTCGTTTGCCCTGGTTTTTGTTAAATTCGGTGTTTGATGACTTTTTTGTCAAAATTTTGTCCCAGTTTTCATTCGTCACCTCAGTTTTCATTGAGTTGACAGTGGTCTGCCATACCGAACGTGTCCGCCCGTGCCCACACAAAGCTTCCCACACATTCTGAGTCAGTCTGACTTTGTTTCTCGTCGGTAGAGGGTGGTAGTGATGGTGGTAGAGGATGGTAGTGATGGTGGTAGAGGGTGGTAGTGATGATGGTAGAGATAACCTCTCCTCCCTCTCCCCTCCTCGCCATCTTCCATACACCAACAAGAGTCTTCAATAAAGGTAAAAGTGATGTTAAATGTTCATTTAACCATTTCATTAGTCCTTTATATGTATTTATTTCTCATTGTTTTCTGTATGTAAAACTATTGTTATTCTCTATAAAATGTATTTTTTGTTAATACTTTTGGGTGTCTGGAACTGATTAATTGGATTTACATTATTTCTTATGGGAAATATTGCTTCAGTTTTCATCGAATTCAGTTTTCGTCAAACTTTCTGGAACAAATTAATGACGAAAATTGAGATTTCACTGTAGTTGAAATAGTTGAATGGGCGGTTCCCTGTGCTCATTTGATAGAACGGAAGGCATACTAGCCAAATAGCTAAGAATTTGGTCAATTGGAGCAATGGAATTGGTTTAAAATAGGACTTGAAGTGGGTGTAATGGCTGATGCAAAAATTATGCTGAAACTGACAAATTTTCATCTGCATGTCTCTGAAAGTTTTCTGTCAAGTTTCACACTTTCGGTGTCATTACATTCAGAAAAAAAATCTTTACCATTTTAGAAGAAAAAAAATTTATTTTTTAAAAAGTGGACACTGAGAGCAATATTAATTTCAGGGAGCTGGACAGTGAGTGGGTTATGGGTATTTTGTACCACATACCTTGTTTCTCGTAAGAATTAATTTTATTGTGAAGATTTTGAACACCTGGAGTGAAAACAGGGAAATGGATAGTAATTATAAGTTTTGTGCCTACAGGAATACCTGCAGCAGATGTTGGAGCAGCACCAGGGTGTGGCTGCTGATGTGGCCTCGCGAACACTTTCTCTGGCTTATACACTCCTCACTAAGGAGTCCAAGGGTCTTGGTCTTCCTGACTTCCCTTTTGACAACCTGCACCTTCTCATGGCCATTTTGGTATGTCTTTTTCATTGTTATATTTTACTATTTTTTCCCCCTTCCTTCTCACCTCCATATCTCTTAAATATGCAATATTATCACCTGGTTTGATAGCCACAGTTATCCGGCTTTGTCTAGGTAATCAGTGCATGAAGTTAAAGCTTAGTGACATGATCCCCTTACTGGGAGTAACTTCATACTACTGCAAGACACATCCTTCAAGGAATTGTAACTTCCCTCCCCTGCGTTGGTGGGAGATGGCCGATATGTTTAAAATAAAATAAAAAATAAAATAAAATATTTATTTCTTTGTTAAGGTTACAATGTGTGTTTACATATAGTAGTATGAATGGAGCAAAGAAAGCCACTGTCGTGCTTAGGCATTTCGGGCAGACTTAACCTAATACTTACAGACTACTTAAGTCTAGACAGGTGAAGAGTGGTAGAATGCAAACACTCAATCTTCACTCCATTGTTAATATGAGGTAGTACAATTTATGACATCTTACATTTTTAAGTACGAAATTAGGTTGTTAACAATAGTAAAATACAAATATTCTATGTTTCACTCTTCTTATTAATATGAGGTAATACAATTTATGATACAATCAATCATACATTTTTAAGTTTGTAATTAAGTTCATTTAAAAATACATATATATATATATATATATATTTTTTTTTTTTTTTTTTTTTTTTTTTTTTTTTTTTTTTTTCAACAAGTCGGCCGTCTCCCACCGAGGCAGGGTGACCCAAAAAAGAAAGAAAATCCCCAAAAAGAAAATACTTTCATCATCATTCAACACTTTCACCACACTCGCACATTATCACTGTTTTTGCAGAGGTGCTCAGAATACAACAGTCTAGAAGCTTAAACATATAAAGATACACAACATATCCCTCCAAACTGCCAATATCCCAAACCCCTCCTTTAAAGTGCAGGCTTGTACTTCCCATTTCCAGGACTCAAGTCCGACTATATGAAAATAACCGGTTTCCCTGAATCCCTTCACTAAATATTACCCTGCTCACACTCCAACAGATCGTCAGGTCCCAAGTACCATTCGTCTCCATTCACTCCTATCTAACACGCTCACGCACGCTTGCTGGAAGTCCAAGCCCCTTACCCACAAAACCTCCTTTACCCCCTCTCTCCAACCCTTTCGAGGACGACCCCTACCCCGCCTTCCTTCCCCTATAGATTTATATGCTTTCCATGTCATTCTACTGTGATCCATTCTCTCTAAATGACCAAACCACCTCAACAACCCCTCTTCTGCCCTCTGACTAATACTTTTATTAACTCCACACCTTCTCCTAATTTCCACACTCCGAATTTTCTGCATAATATTTACACCACACATTGCCCTTAAACAGGACATCTCCGCTGCCTCCAACCGTCTCCTCGCTGCTGCATTTACCACCCAAGCTTCACACCCATATAAGAGTGTTGGTACTACTATACTTTCATACATTCCCTTCTTTGCCTCCATAGATAACGTTTTTTGACTCCACATATACCTCAACGCACCACTCACCTTTTTTCCCTCATCAATTCTATGATTAACCTCATCCTTCATAAATCCATCCGCCGACACGTCAACTCCCAAGTATCTGAAAACATTCACTTCTTCCATACTCCTCCTCCCCAATTTGATATCCAATTTTTCTTTATCTAAATCATTTGACACCCTCATCACCTTACTCTTTTCTATGTTCACTTTCAACTTTCTACCTTTACACACATTCCCAAACTCATCCACTAACCTTTGCAATTTTTCTTTAGAATCTCCCATAAGCACAGTATCATCAGCAAAAAGTAACTGTGTCAATTCCCATTTTGAATTTGATTCCCCATAATTTAATCCCACCCCTCTCCCAAACACCCTAGCATTTACTTCCTTTACAACCCCATCTATAAATATATTAAACAACCATGGTGACATTACACATCCCTGTCTAAGACCTACTTTTACCGGGAAGTAGTCTCCCTCTCTTCTACACACCCTAACCTGAGCCTCACTATCCTCATAAAAACTCTTTACAGCATTTAATAACTTACCACCTATTCCATATACTTGCAACATCTGCCACATTGCTCCTCTATCCACTCTATCATATGCCTTTTCTAAATCCATAAATGCAATAAAAACTTCCCTATCTTTATCTAAATACTGTTCACATATATGCTTCAATGTAAACACCTGATCTACACATCCCCTACCCACTCTAAAACCTCCTTGCTCATCCGCAATCCTACATTCTGTCTTACCTCTAATTCTTTCAATTATAACCCTACCGTACACTTTTCCTGGTATACTCAGTAAGCTTATTCCTCTATAATTTTTACAGTCTCTTTTGCCCCCTTTCCCTTTATATAAAGGGACTATACATGCTCTCTGCCAATCCCTAGGTACCTTCCCCTCTTTCATACATTTATTAAACAAAAGTACCAACCACTCCAACACTATATCCCCCCCTGCTTTTAACATTTCTGTCATGATCCATCAGTTCCAGCTGCTTTACCCCCTTTCATTTTACGTAATGCCTCACGTACATCCCCCACACTTACATTCTGCTCTTCTTCACTCCTAAAAGATGGTATACCTCCCTGACCAGTGCATGAAATTACTGCCTCTGTTTCTTCCTTAACATTTAAAAGTTCCTCAAAATATTCTCGCCATCTACCTAATACTCCATCTCCCCATCTACTAACTCCCCTACTCTGTTTTTAACTGACAAATCCATATTTTCCCTAGGCTTTCTTAACTTGTTTAACTCACTCCAAAATTTTTTCTTATTTTCATTAAAATATATATATATATATATATATATATATATATATATATATATATATATATATATATATATATATATATATATATATATATATATATAAATATATATAAATAATATATATATATATAAATATATATATATATATAAATATATATATATATATATATATATATATATATATATATATATATATATATATATATATATATATATATATATATTATATATATACAGAAGGCCCCACTTATACGGCGGGTTAGGTTCCAGGCTACCGCCGTAAAGCGGAAATCGCCGTAAAGTGGAACACCCTTTTTTTTCCACTTATAAATGCATACAAACACTAGATAACAAGTTTACACTAACATATATTAAGTTAGCAATAGAACCAGGCATCAAAAAACAATAAAAAGGTACAATACACACATAGTGCACTCATTACTTACCTTAAAATATTTATAGTCTTAATCTAGGGTGAGACAAGTAGTATTTATTGTAAGAAATCAAGTGTGGTATGTATTGTAATAGCCTCACCAGGCCACCCCACCCACACATACTATTCTATGATATTTAAGCATCCCAGAGCGATAAAATGTATATACAGTTCACTCATTACTTACCTTAAAATATTTGTAGTCTTAATGTAGGGTCAGGAGTAAGTAAATGAGATAAAACGAATAAATGAGAGAGAGAAAGAATGAGTACATGAGAGGGGGCAGGCGCAGTTATGTAAACAAACCAGGGGAAGGTAAGTTTTGTAAACAAACGAAATGTACACGTCTGGTTTGTGTACAAGTTACATTGTGTACAGGTTGTCTCTACATTGATACGGTAGAATTAATAAAGAAGAACACTCCCATTCTCATGTAACATCATTTTGAGAAGAAATGAAGCTCTGAGTGAAGGCAATGGAAATAAGTCACACTGACTTTTTTGGGTTATCCTAGGTTCTCTACACGTATGTTGTTATGTATGATAATCTATGTAACTGTATTTGTGTATACCTGAATAAACTTACTTACATACATACGAAAGGAATAATTTTCTACAGTTACCCCCAGTAACACATTTACTCTTATGTTAGATTAGAGAAAATGTTATTCTTGCCGTCACTTGTACAAGTTATGTGGCTCCCACATCTTATATTTATGTTTATTTATTCTATTGTGGGGTGTATTATCATCTTTTTATGTTATGTATCGTGTTTATTATATAATTTTGAAAAAAATATCATGGATGGATTAATGAAAATGTGTATATTACCGTAATATACGACATTTAATGAGACTCGGTATTGTTATTATCACCACTTGTGCAAGTCGTCTGCTACGACATCTCACATTTTTTATTTATTCTACTGTGGGGTGTATTTATCTTATTTATATGTTATGCATCGTGTTTATTATATAATTTTGAAAAAAATATCATGGATGGATTAATGAAAATGTGTATATTACCGTAATAAACGACATTTAATGAGACTCAGTATTGTTATTATCACCACTTGTGCAAGTCGTCTGCTACGACATCTCACATTTGTTTATTTATTCTACTGTGGGGTGTATTTATCTTATTTATATGTTATGCATCGTGTTTATTATATAATTTTGAAAAAAATATCATGGATGGATTAATGAAAATGTGTATATTACCGTAATATACGACATTTAATGAGACTCAGTATTGTTATTATCACCACTTGTGCAAGTCGTCTGCTCACATCTCACATTTGTTTATTTATTCTACTGTGGGTGTATTTATCTTATTTATATGTTATGCATCGTGTTTATTATATAATTTTGAAAAAAATATCATGGATGGATTAATGAAAATGTGTATATTAATGTAATATACGACATTTAAATGACTCGATGTATGTAAGTTTATTTAGGTACAGGTATACATAAGTATAATTATCAGAGTATATATAAAATATGAAATAACTTTTAAAAACATTTGAAATTTTGGAGTTTCCAGACAAAATGGAGAGACTTAGTGCTTACTGAGCTCATGGAGAATGTAAACAAACAGGGTGGGGCACGGTGACCGTATTAGAAAGTCAGGTGGGGGGAGCCGTATAGTGAGTTTTGGTCATAATTTGAAATGTCCGTATTAGCGGAACGCCGTAAAGCGGGGCCCTCCTGTATATATATATATATGTGTGTACAGTGGACCCTCAGCTAACGATATTATTCCATTCCTGAAAGATTATCGTATGCTGA